CTGTGCCCCAACCCCCCAATCGGCTCTACCCTGAGCGTGACTGGGGATGGCATTGCAACCTCCTGATCCGCCCTGCTCTGTGCATGACGGGGTGGCGCCCCAACTCCCTAATTGGCCCTCTTCTGAGCTCGACCAGGGGCTGCACTTAGGGATTGGGCCTGCCCTCTGCCACCCGGGAGCAGGCCTAAGCCAGCAGGTCGTTATCTCCCGAGGGGTCCTAGACTGTGAGAGGGCACAAGTGGGGCTGAGGGACCCCCCTCCTACCCCCCCGCCAGTGCACAATTTTTTGTGCACTGGGCCTCTAGTTGGTATATAAAAATGCAACTAATTTCTGGATATTTGTTTTATGTCCTGCTACTTTACTGAATTAATGTATCAGCTCTAATAGTTTTTTTGGTGGATTCTTTAGGATTCTCTATATACAGTATCATGTCATCTGTAACAGTTTTACTTCTTTCCAATTTGGATGGCTTTTATTTCTTCTTGTTATCTGATCTCTGTGACTAGGACTTCCAGTACTATGTCGAACAGGCGTGGTGAAAGCAGACATCCCTGTCTTGTTCCTTTCTTAGGGGAAATGGTTTTAGTTTTTGCCCACTGAGTACGATGTTGGCTATGGGTTTGTCATATGTGGCCTTAATTATGTTGAGGTATGTTCCCTCTATTCCCACTTTGCTGAGAGTTTTTATCACAATTGGGTGATAGATTTTGTTGAATGCTTTGTCTGCATCAATTGCTATGATCATGTGGTTTTTATCCTTCAGTTTGTTTGTGTGATGTATCATGTTTATTCATTTGCAGATATTGTACCACCCTTGCATCCCCGGAATAAATCCTACTTGATCATGGTGTATGATCTTTTTATTGTATTGCTGAATCTAGTATCCTGATATTTTGTTGAGGATTTTAGTGCCTACGTTCATCAGGGATATTGGCCTATAACGTTCTTTCTTTGCAGTGTCTTTATCTGATTTGGGGATTAGGATAATGCTGGCCTCATAAAATGAGCTTGGGGGCCTTCCCTCCTCTTGAAGTTTTTGGAATAGTTGGAGGAGAATATGTGTTAGTTCTTCTTTGAATGTTTAGTAATATCCACCTGTGAAGCCATCCAGTCCAGGACTTCTGTTTGTTGGGCGTTTTTGAATTATTACTTCAGTTTCACTCGTTGTAATCTGTCTGTTCAGATTCTCTGATTCATCCTGACCTAGTGCTGGCAGACTGTGCGTTTCTAGGAATTTACCCATTTCATCCCCGTTGTCCAATTTGTTAGCATATCGTTGTCTGTAATATTTTCTTACAATCTTTTGTATTTCTTTGGTGTCAGTTGTTATTTCTCTTTCACTTCTGATTTTGTTTGGGTCCTCTCTCTTTTTTTTTTCTTGATGAGTTTGGTTAAAGGTTTCTCAATCTTGTTTATCTTTTCAAAGAACCACCTCTTGGTTTCATTCATTTTTTTGTATTGGGTTTTTTAAGACTCTATTTTGTTTATGCCTGCTCTGAAAGAACGAAATCTTACCCTTTGTGACAGCGTGGATGACCTGGAGAGCATGATGCTAAGTGAAATAAGCCAGTCAGTTCATATGTGGAATCTAATGAACAAAATGAACTAAG